GAGGGCTGAAGACATAAACAGCTCATTTCTTTATGTTTAAGAAAAACAGGTTGAAACCAATGGAAACTGTTCACAATAAAATATTGACATCATATTATGGATACATATATAATTACGACAGATACTGTTATGGTTTCAGCTTCTGCCCATCCTGCACTTTTTTCTTGAGTTTAATTAATTTTCAATAAATTACACAAAACACAGAAGAGAAAAGTTAAAAAACATGATTAATTGATATCATTATTATTATTATTATTATTGATTTTGCATTTTACATTGATGCCACAATGATAACATAGCTTTGAATTATTTTGTTCACGATAACTGGGAAGTGAAAATCTAATAAGATCATGCAACTTGTAGATAAACCACAAATTTGCCGGAGTCTACCAAACTATAATTCAATTTCAGTCAGTTCAATTCAATGTAATTATTTATAATAGCATAAAATCACAACTGTAGTCACCATCAGCGTGCTTTATATTGTAAGATAAGGACCCTACATTAGGAGAGAAAACCACAGCAATCAAAAGACCCTCTATAAGCAAGCACTTGGTGACAGTGGGAAGGAAAAACTCCCTTTTAACAAGAAGAAACCTCCGGCAGAACCAGGCTTAGGGAGGGGCAGCCATCTGCCATGACTGGTTGGGGGTGAGAGAAGGGAGACAATTTAAAAATCACACTGCAGAAGAGCGCCAGAGATTAATAACAAGCAATGACTAAATGCAGAGTAGGGTATAAACACATAGTGAGTGAAAATAGGTGTGTGAAAAAAAGTTAAAGGTGTACTCAGTGGCTGTTAGGTGCCCTTGTCCTATGCCTGTAAACAAGCCCAAATCAACACTGCTCCACCACTGTGCTTAACCATTGTTTGTGCTGATATGCTGTGTTTCACCCAAAGGATTGCTGTGCATTATGGCCAAACCTTTCCACTTTGGTACCATCTGTCCAATGCTCCACAAGTTTATTCAGATACAATATTGCAAACATAAGCCATGCTACAATGTTTTTTCCTGGCAAGACTTCCAAACAAGCCATACACATTCAGTCTTTAAAAAAAGTGTAACTAAAGAACTTTAACATTTTTAACATGCTAAGCAAGGCCTGTACAGTCTGAAATGTAGTTCTTAAGATTTTTTTCAGTTTCTCAGAACATTGCACTGTCTGACCTTGGGGTGAACTTGCTGCAACATCCATTCAAGACAGACTGGCAGCTGTCTTGAATGTTTTCCACTTAGGAATAATCTTTCTCACTGAATAGTAAACTTAAAATTGTTTGGAAATGTCCTTATAACCCTTCCCAGACTGATAGGCAACAACAATTTCTTCCTAAAGCTCATTGCTGATGTTGTTCTTCCTTGCCATTGTGTTAACACACACATGAATGGTCCATACCAGCAAACCTGCAAAACTACAGCTCTAGTAGAGGTGCTCATACTTCATGATAATCAGTTAATCAAGTACATTTGATTAGTAACTCCTTACGCTCTTTATTTTTTTTAATATGTCATGTTTTTACTTTATCTGAGGTTATTTACCTAATTTTAAGATGTCCTCAAGGACCAGGTGATTTGTTTGATGCCCTGATGTAAATTTTTCAATTTAAAGAAAGCATACTTTTTTTCCCCTCTGGGTCATACTTTATTTTCTTTTCTCACAATAATAAATAAATTAAAAAATGTCTACATAGGAAAAAGGGAAATGTGCTTTTAACAAATTGTTCTACATCTCACTTATTCCCGTATCAACAGTAAGTGGGCGATTAAAATAGGAATAGTGCTTAGTTCTCAGCCTTTACCTTCTGCAGGAGTTAACTCTGGTCACCAGCACCACTGATGTCTTGGTCAAGAATCTGATATCGGGTATCAGTAATACAATCTGTAATTGAAAACACTGACCTTCCAGCTCTAGCAAAGATGCATGTGACAAACAATAATAACTGTATGGGCCAATATGAAAGGCCATTTAATGAGGGAAGACGGCTACGTGAACCGCAGTGTGGGTATGATTTACATTTCATTTCAGCATCACCCTACATGCATGAGTGGTGAGAATGCCAGAGCTGGTGAGTTTATTTTTTACATTGACTCTGTAAAAATAATCAGTACGGGGACAGCTTCATTATGGTCCATCTGTTTATATTATTGAATTAACAATCTGTTGTCTATCTAATGCTATCAGATTATGTGGGCAAGCATTTCAAGTCAAATTATCACGAGTAATTACAAGTACAAACTGTATAATGTCTCAGTGGCTCTCTAGAGCAACATTAGCAGAGCATCAGTAGAGCCTGGGTATAGTAACAGTACTCCTATTATTATTATTTTTTAGATTTATAGCTATTATTGGACCTAATTAGACCTCAAAGCAATATTGAGATATTTTAGTCTTCATTTTTCACATTGGTCGATGACTATTTTTGACCATCAGGCAGATGTTGCAAATTTTCAAAAGGCATCTGCAGGCAGCAAATATTAACCTCAGAACAAAACCACAAGAAGCTGTTTGATGTGTGTTTTGTATTGTGTATTGATTAGCTTTGTGAGTACCCTAAGGCAAGTGTCCCGACAGTGTCCGTGAAAGCTGTTTCTCAGCAAGGCTGTTTCCTTACCAATGATAGCCATGCTGCTTTTGCTCAAATTACACTTTGAGGCACATGCGCATCAAGTACAATGCAGAAAGAAACCAGATTAGTTGTACATGCCAAGAATCATTTGAAAGATTCTCAAGTTACCAAGCTCTGTGTCTTTAATAAGAAAAAATGTCATACAACAAGCAGAATCCTTTTCTAAATAAATAAAATGCTAAATGCAGTATATGTAAAAGAAGAGAATGATAACATACATTGCTGAGCTTCTGCATGTTGGTGATAGTGTATGCACACTAGTCTAAGAGTGATTGTTGAATGTGTTTCCCAGTTAAAGCTACTTTTGTAATGACCTATTTACATAGTAGTGACTTATCTGTTATTTTAAATCAGTCTGTCAAGTCTCAGATGTAACTACATATTTATAGTCCTAAGATGACATCTGCATGGGCATTGTTTGGGAGATTTGATGTGATGTCTAAAAACCATGTGAAAATTGTAGAAACATGCAAGCTGGTGCCTCGATCCTGCTTTTCTTCTTAGAAATTATATTCACATATCTTCAACAGCAAATACTTATTAAACAAAACCATGAAATTGATTACATTTGTTAACATCATGCAGAAAGGTTTTAATGAACAGTGCACAGTGGGCAGTATTTCAAAAGCTCTCCTAAAATATTCAAAATCTTGCGAGCCTCTATGAAGATGGTTATTTCCAAGCTCTGTAGCCTATTCCATCTGCCAATGGGAGGCTGGGTACACCCTGGACAGGTTGCCAGTCTATTGCTGGGGTAACACATATGCAACCATTCACACTTTCATACCTACAGCCAGTTCAGAATCCCCAATTAACCTAATGTGCATGTCTTCAGACAGTGGGAGGAAGTTGGAGTACCCGGAGAGAACCCACAAAGGCACAGGGACAACATTCACCCTGACTACAGTCCTGCTAAATGCATACAATTGTATTTAGACTGCAATTATCTTTACAATCACCAAGTATTTGGACTGCATTTACAGAGCACCACTGTGCCTAATTGTTGCCTTTAGTTTTGCCGAGTATAAGATTAAAAATCCACTCTTGCAAATAGTAAATGCTGAAAACGAGAGTACAATTACCAGTCCTGCCCTGGTGTACTGTTTGTGTCATAGCAGAATTGCCATAATTACCAGTTTCCCACTTACTTGTAATTATGACTGGGGATGTGTCATTTTTCTGAAAACTCTGACATAGTTGAGTTGGTGTTAAAAAGTTCAGAAGTGCAGGCAAAAGCAAGCAAAATGGATGTCTGGAAGTAGTATGACTTTTAATAAAGAGCTAACGTTTGAATCTTTCCGTTTTCTTTGTTAGCGTTTAATGATTGAGGCAGCTGAAATCTGTAGTAATAAGTGACAGACAGTAACACAAGCTAGCTGCCACTTAGAGGTGTCCAGTAACCTGAATGCTCACGACTGATAAATGAGAAAACAGTCATTGTCAAAAAAGGGCTTTTTACAAACTCAAAAAGGTCTCCCAAATCCCCCCCCCCCACCCCCCCAAAAAACAACAAAAAACCAAAGGAAACCAAAAATTTAATAAGTAGGCTAATAAAGGGGGCATATTAGGCATATAGGGGTTTAGTAGAGCAAAATTACACACAAAGGGTAAACAAAAATGAGCTACAATTCATTTAAGATAAATACAATTTCAGGGCATGGTTTGGTACAGCGCTGGGGCTGAATAGCTGGAAAAATATTTGGGAGAATTTTGGGAAAATTTCACGAGGTCGAAGGAAGGAGAATTCATAGGTGCTCCGAGAATCTGTGGAGTGTTTGACTTCAGAGAAATACAGCGTAGAAAGAAATTATTGATGCCGCGTTTCGTACAATGGGAAAAATCTCTTTATGAAGGACAAGAAATATTCACACTGGGTGGAAATTTGAATCATGGGTCGCGAATGAGTAAGAGAATGTACCCGATTATGATGAGGATGCTACCGAGAAAGAGTATAGCTTGGTCGTTGCCTGTATGTTATCCACCACCAGAAAATAGAGCATCCGAGCATAGTACACACGAGGCATGACCTCCCATAGCCGAAGTGTTGAGAGAAATAGCTAGGCAACGGAGGTCAAGGTGAAAGATAATGATTGACGTAGATAAAAAGGCACATCGAACATCCAACCTCATTTTTGTTGTATTAAGTCTTAACGTTTTGTGTTGTTTCATTTAGGCCCTAACGAAATTGATGTTTATAATAAATGTAGAATGAAGAAATGGTTGTGTGGTGGGAATATACCAAGTTGGTTGTTATAGTTAAAAGAAATCGGGCTGGAGGGCTGTTGGAAGTGAGGGGGGGCAGGCACAGTCAGTTCTGATAACAGCAACAGTAGGAGGAGGATGAGCCGTGGGACCGCCCCACTCTCCCACAGATATAAATAGGAGGTGGATTTTTTTACTCCACTCATTTCTCCTGAAGGATGAGATCCCTGAAACACCTTAAACATCACTCAAGGAACAATGTGGTGAGTTTGTAACCGAAAGATAGGGGAAGATTTTAGAGGGGAGAGGGGTGGCGGGGGGGAGGAGGAGGTGGCGATTACTTGTTTTGCAGTTTGTTAGTGAGCTGTTTGCACTCTTGTCTGTCTTTGTGTGTTTTGAGGGGAAGCAAGATTACTTTTCCCCCCTCCACATTCACATGAGTGCTGCAGTAGGAACATCCTTCTTTTTTAAAAAAAAAAATATCATAATAATAGTTGTGTTTCTATCTCTGTGCTGCACGCTTCTGCTTCTGCTCTGTTTGTCCTTAGGTGTCTTTCAGTTGCAACTTTAAATGTGAAAGTACGGACTCTTGCAATTATTACCCTACCTTCTCTGTCTACTTGTCATTTGTCTTTTTCTCTTTCATTTTGTCAGCCTTTCATTTTGCTGTGCTTTTTCTTCTCTCTACAGCTCCCCCCCGCTCCTCCTCCTTCCCCTCTTTCTCTCTCACTCACTCACTCTGTCTTTCTGTCTTTCTCCGGCTCCCCCCTCGCACACACCCCCTCCCTATCCTTTTCCTTTCTCTCTTCCCTCCTCTCACATGCTCACTCAATCTCTCGTTACCCTTCCCTCCCCTCCCTCCCCTCCCCTCTTTCTTTATCTTTCAGCCCCTCCATCTCATTTCTCTCTCTGTCTCCCTCCCTCCACTCCTCCCCCGCCCACAGCTCTTTCTCCTTCTCTTCAAACCTCCCTCCCTCTTTTCTCTCTCTCTTTCACACACACACACACACACACACACACACACACACACACACACACGCGCGCGCTTTCAAATACACACCCAGTCTCTTTCCTTTTCTTTCTCACAAACACACAGTCTGTCTCTGTCTGACTACTTTAAAAGCAGTAATTATAAATGACGTGGTTATCAGGGCATCCAGGTCTACTCCCCTCTCCCAACACACACTCACTCACACATACACCTTTATTCCTGCTCTCTATCTCCTCTTCCTTTCTCCATCCACTCTTTTCTTTTCTCTCAGTATTGTGTCAGGAAAGGAAGCAGCTCTTATTTATATGGCAGTGTGAAGGCTAGAGTGCTGTCTGCAAAGAAACCAGGGGTCAGCTTCTCACTATACATTTTCCTACTCGTCGGAGCCATGCTGAGAAATAACCTGAAACTAGTGGCATGCAATACCCGCTTCTCTTTTACCACAGAGGGCCAATTCTGGTCATACCACAATTTCTTCCCCATAGTTTCACTGTTCTGCTTTTACAGGCGGCAGGATAAACATGCGCGTCTGGGTCTGAAACACATCCGAACCATACAATTAAGTTAGCGAATCTTATGCATTGGTCTGGAATACAGAATGAGCTCTAAGCTCAATCGAATGTCTGTTATGGATATGAGACTGCCTGCCGGCATATATCATCTTGTTAAAGAAGCCCAGTGTGGCAGGCATTATAAAGTTGGGATCTCTTAGTATAGAGTTGAGATACTTTTCACCTTTATGAATGGCAGAGATAGCTCCAGTGATGAGCTAACTTTGGTCAGCAAGGCTGTCCCAGGACCCCACAGGAAGTGCTGAGGACAGTCCACGGAAGTCAACATCCTGGCTGGACCTGCATCCCTTGTTGTGTTCTTTGTTATTCTAAAGCCTGTCAAGGAAGGAAGCCGGGTGCTAACACAGATCTGTCTTATCTCCTCAATCTAATGTTCTCTGGATTCAGAGCAAAGACACAAGGCGTAGTCCGAACGCAGCTTTCACGGAGTAGCACTGAATCCTTCTCTTAATACTCTCCCCTAATTCCCAGCTAAGGAAGACTCTATAGCTGCTGGGGTCAGTCTGACATGCTGAACCTTAAAGGCTAAATTGTATGGTTGCGTTACCTTTGACCTGATAGATTGCAAATGAGGAAGCGAGAATATGCGAGGAGAAATTGTGCAACAGGTTTTGTAACAATGGAATAATAGAAAGCACACAGAGACACAGATGCAGTTTTGCCTCTAGTTCATTTTGACTTATGGTGTATGTCTGTGTGTGTGTTTTCTTCCAGGAGGAGGAGAGTGGCCGCTTGGTGCGGACATACCCAAAGATGACTGAGGGCCAAGTAGATGTGGGCACACAGACGGAGCCTGTGGTTGTGCTATCTCTGGCTCAGGCTGCCGTTCTTGGCCTCATCTCCCAGAATGAAATATTTGGGGCGACTATTGCTCCTAATGGCTTTTACACAGGGGAACCCAGAGAATGCCCCCCTCCACCACCAGAGTCAGTGGAGTATGAGTATGCTGACCAGCTGATAGGGGCCAATGGGGACTACCTGGCTGAGCCTGCTGGGGAGCTAGAGCCGCAGCCCCACTGCAGTGAGAGAAGACGGCCCGGGCCCCGTGGGAGAACCAAAAGGCCCAGGATTGATGGGGAATTAGAGGGTCATCCGCACAATGTACCCAGTCCACAGCCTCAGGTTAAAGGTGAAAGACTTGACTCTGATACCCCTCCTTCGTGTATTCACATGAACAGCAGGGGTAGTCCTGGCAAGTCAGATGATCCAGTCATCCAGCAAGGTACTCTGAAAGAGGAGCAAGCCTGTGGAAACTGTCCTTCATGTGTGAGAGACACATCCAGGCCACAAACAGATGGACAGCCAGAGGCTGAACAAGATGAAAGCTCTGGTAGGGAAAGAGTGAGGAAGGAAGAAGAGTTAGTAGTAGAGGAAGAAGAAGAAGAAGAGGAGGCACTGAACCTTAAGACCACCGGAGAAACAAGCAGTCCTGTGGAGAATCGTTATTATGATTCCAGTGAGGTGGCCTATGAGTCTGCAGATATGGCAATGCCAACAGAGTATGAGGAGAACAACCAAGCCATGCTGTGGTCAGACCCAGAGGGTCTCGCAAGACGAATGCAGATTGACCGACTGGACATCAACGTGCAGATCGACGAGTCTTACTGCGTAGACGTAGGCGAGGGCTTGAAGCGCTGGAAGTGCCGCATGTGCGAGAAGTCATACACATCCAAATACAACCTGGTAACACATATCTTGGGCCACAATGGAATTAAGCCTCATGAATGTATACACTGCGGAAAGCTTTTCAAGCAGCCAAGTCACCTCCAGACTCACCTGCTCACGCACCAGGGAACTCGACCGCACAAGTGTACCGTCTGTGAGAAGGCCTTCACGCAGACGAGCCACCTGAAGAGGCACATGCTGCAACATTCAGACGTGAAACCCTACAGCTGTCGTTTCTGTGGCCGTGGCTTTGCCTACCCCAGTGAACTGAGGACCCACGAGAACAAACACGAGAACGGCCAGTGCCATGTCTGCACTCAGTGCGGCCTCGAGTTTCCAACCTATGCGCACCTGAAGCGTCACCTGACCAGCCATCAGGGACCCACGACGTACCAGTGCACAGAGTGCAACAAGTCCTTCGCCTACCGCAGCCAGCTGCAGAACCACTTGATGAAGCACCAGAACGTGCGGCCTTACGTTTGCCCCGAGTGCGGCATGGAGTTCGTCCAGATCCACCACCTCCGACAGCACGCTCTCACTCACAAGGTACTGGCAGCGCACGCCCTCCCACTTAAGGTACTGAAACCCAATGATGTGCCTTCGTCTACCAGTTGATGCGTTCAAAATACACTCAGGAGTATGCTAGCTTCATGCAGCAACACATCACTATTTAAAAGCAGAAAAATGTGATTATCAACATGAGCACAAAAGAGACTTATGGGTTAAAAGGGAAGTATTTTGGACTCTTTCAATAAGAGTCTGCAGTATGAATTCTCATGGAAAAAAACAGGGTATATGGCATCACATCCTTTTCTCCAAAACCAGTTGCTTTGTAAACACAGCCTTCAAAGACCTTGAGTTTTTGTATGCGTCTCAACCCCCCACTAGCATGTGTTTTGTGTCGTGTGTCATTCGCAAAGCTACTTCCCTTTGTGTCAGATGAATCACTCTAGTCTTTCTCTCCATTTCATTGTATAGTCTACTTTAGACTAAATTTAAAAAAAAAAAAACCTTCTATTCATAAAACACGCTTTGTTGAATATTAAAATAAAAGTCAAAAACATGGTAAAAAACTTTTAGTTTATTCTCCCCATTGCCAGGGTTTTTCATCTTTGTCACTCAACAAGTGGGGGTGGGGAGAAATATAATCTACACGAGTAGGATCAAAAAGCCAGAATACAAATGCTCAATTGCAGCAAACAGGCACACATGTGAGCGCCTTGTGCTTTTTTTTTTTTCTCTCTGTGACTCATTATTTATTTTCCAACCGACCATATATTTAAGCCAAATTAATTAAAAGGACGCAAACACTTTTTTTGTGTCCCCAGGGCATGAAAGAATTCAAGTGTGATGTCTGTGCCAGAGAATTCACCCTGTCTGCCAACCTGAAGAGACACATGTTGATCCACGCCAGCGTGAGGCCCTTCCAGTGCCATGTCTGCTTCAAGACCTTTGTCCAGAAGCAGACCCTGAAAACGCATATGATTGTCCACCTGCCGGTGAAGCCTTTCAAATGCAAGGTGGGGGAAGCAAGTGGCACCTTTCGCAAAATCACCTGGATCTCGCTGGGATGAAGCACGGAGCGATACTCACTGTTGTACTCGTGTCTTTCAGGTATGCGGGAAGTCGTTTAACAGAATGTACAACCTCCTCGGCCACATGCATCTCCACGCTGGCAGCAAGCCCTTCAAGTGCCCTTACTGCACCAGCAAGTTCAACCTGAAGGGCAACCTGAGTCGACACATGAAAGTCAAACACGGCATCATGGACACCACGATAGATGGACACGGTGAGTGGCTTGGTGACTTTAATTAAACTCTGAATTAAAACAGATGCTATTTGAATTTGTTGATGGGTGATGTGTGGCAAATTTCCCAGTGGGACTGTTTGGGGTGAGCTTCATGTCGCATTATTGTCACTCAGTCTGTCCCTAATGCACTTTGACTCAGCATGTACTATAATCTAGTATTCGAGCATTTTGATGTTTCTGTCACTCTCTCCTCGTGTGCTCAGTAAATATAGCAGTGCCTGGATTAGACATGCCCGTCTCTATCAGTAGAGACTGATACCGAGGAGGGGCAATCTACAGGCTGTCCTAAATGTGGCCATATGTCTTTAGGAAGAGCTCCGCGTGTGTGTGTATGTGGTGAAACTAGAATTATATTTGTATCCTCCTTTGTCCCTTCTTCAGAGCCCCCCCAAGAGACAGAAGGCCAGGAGGACTACGAAGAGGAGAGCTTTGAATTCAGTGAGCGAGAAAACCGGGCCAACAACACCAACACACCTGACATCTCTAAACTCTCTCAAATGGAGTATTACAGCACCTTCGGAAAGGGCGCCGGACGCTTCAACACTGCGTGAATTATTAAAAATGACCCAAAATTGAATATAGGTGTGACCTAATGAAAATAGGATTGCTTTTTGTTTTGTTTTATTTTGGTTTTTTGCTGTTAAAGGCAAAGTGCTTGGGCTCCTCTTCAAGGACGTGAAGAAGCCTAGCAAAGCTGCACATCAGTATGCACTGGAATCTAAAAAAAATATATACTTTTTTAATCTAATTACATATTTTTCATCTCTAAAACATTTAAAAATAATTACAGATAAATATATTTGAAAGAAATGGACAGCCTAAAATAGGAGCAAAGGATTTAAAAAATATATATATATCTACACACATTTGTATATGTTGTGAGTTGTTTAACAACAGCTAAACATCATCTGAGCCCAATTTGAAAAGCACAAGCTTAGCTACAGGCATAGGTGCATATGTTGATGTCTCACTGCACGTCCTCATTCAGACAATCCCGGTCCCCCTCTCTGTGGTCAGCTCATGGGTTAAAGAAGGAAACAGGTGTTGCTGTTCATTTCACTTGCCAAAGCTAATAAAGTTGCAGAACTTAATGATTCACTTTGATTTAAACTGTGACAAACTGCAAAACGACTGAAAATGCCACTGGATTTGCAATCTGTGTTTTATTGTATATTATTGTACAGAATGTATCAGCCCTCTAGTACGCTGGCTGGTACTGCAATCAGTGCGTTGCACTGAGGACCACTGTGTCTACTTTTTACATTACTGCATTAACAAGCGTCACCCTGTATTGATCTCTAGTCTATGAATGTAACTGTTTATGTGGAATGTTTTAAGATGCTAATAAAAACGTGAAGAAAAACACTTTTTAAAAAATGGTTGGATCCCTTTTACCAAAGAATTAGATCAAAATCTCAGAGCTACTGGCGCCATTGGATTCCTTTCCTTGCTGCTGTGTTGAGCTGGGACATTGAATTTCTAGGGGTCCAATCACAGACCTCCAGAAATTACATTCAGGTTTCCCTCCCACCCATCTGTAGATCTTTTCAAAAGATTACCACAGAGAACAGACTGTGGTGCAGCATCTCTTTCAGCAAAACCTCACAGTTTTCCCTGATCCAAGCCTTCACAGGACTGCAGCATTTTTCAAAAGCAAGCCCCGCATTTGTATTGCAGTTGTGTGGTTTTTTTTGTTTTTTAAATGGATGAATCTCAACAAGAATTGTCCTCCCAAAAAACTCGGACAGAAATATTAAGTGCCCTAGTGTGTCTACACGAGCATGCCATCCATCATGCTGTACACTGGTCTCGAGTGATGAACGACAACCTCCCAACATGTGACAGGGCCACGGACCTTGTGCAAAATGATTTGGAAATGCTCAATATATTCAGTTTCTCCAGTGTTTAGCTTTTCAAACTTGTAACCTGCGAATAAGGTATCCATTTGCAATGTTGATATAGTGCATTTAAAAGAAGAAGAAAGCTCATTTTTGAGTTTTTCAGCTGCTGTGTTCACTCCATCACTTTTTTGTGATGACACAAGAAAGACACTCATCTTAAATGGCTTTCTGTATTAGACATTAGTGTGGAGATAATGTTGATAGAGTTGTATGTACAATGTTGTGTACCAGGCAATACTGTAAGATAATAAATTTATTTACCTTTAAAGTGGGAGAGCTCTCGTTTGTACAGATGCAAAACACAAACAGTGGTTTAAAAGATTTATTGGCAAATGTGTGTGACACAGGCTTTAGTCTTGCCCAAGGCATTACATAGTACTGAATACTTCACATTACAAAAATAAAACCCTGCAAGTAATGGGACAGACAGTAAGGGAGGCATGAGGTTCAAAGGACAATTCTCAACGATTTAAAAACCTAAGAGAACTACGTAATCCTATAGACAGTACTTTCTTCTCCTTCTGATTAAATTGCGAGTGGATTTATTGACCTTTAAGTTAAAAATGAGGTACAAAAACAGAAGAGTGACATTGCCATCTTCGTGCTTATCATATTCTTTCAAGTCCTTCACTTTCCGAGGGCCTTATCCAGATTTGTCTTGATGGCGTCGAGGAAGTCTGTAGTATTGACGTAATGCTCGTTCAGCTTGACACTGAAAAGACAGGACGCGGCACATCAGAAAAGTCAACAGAAAAACAAAAGCGTAAAAACATGCAAGCAACACAAACAAGATAATGCTGTTGGTTAGTTACACAGGGATTATTAAAATAATACATTTTACATATCATGATTAAACAGACTACAACTGAGTACTACAAGGTTGTGCCCGTTTCATTTTGCATGTAGCTTTTAGACAACAGCGTATTATATGAAGCATTCATTCAGCGGCAGATGAGAAAACCGCAATGCCTTCAAGCAAACAAATGAGTCAATGCAACAAACAGATAAGTATATACACTAAATGTGCACGAAAGCGTGGAGGAACTAGATGACAAGGCTACAGAAGTCTTGAGTAAACATTTTACAAGCTCGATATAAATCATTCTTAAGCAGATGCACTTGGAAAATCCTGCGTTACATGTGAAGTTTATTTTGTTCATTACAAATCAGAAACGTTCACTCAATTAAAACACACTTAATATTCCCTTGATTGACTTTAAAAGCCATCCTAGAAAAAATTAATAAATCTTGCTTTTTGTCAACCTTATAAGTGAAATTTAAATTGTGTTTTTCTTTTTAAATAAGTTGCTGAAAAATATATAGTAATGAACACTGGCAGAGGCCTAAAACCTCGCAAATATTCCGGAAGATGAGGACAAGTTTATATAAAGTGCAGGTCAGAATCAGGGCAAAGATTAAATGCTGTCTTGGGTTTAACTTGAGGTTAAATCCACACGATTATCAATAATTAAAGATTAAAGCCATAGCGTCAAACCTTATTCATTTTCTAGCTGCCATCATAGGCTTAATGTCCCAAAACATAAAGATGCACCAAGGCCTGAATGGCAGCATCCTTCAAAATCAATGCAGCAACTGATGACTTTTTGTATGACTGATGAATCTGCAAATTCTCCTGTGAAAATTTGTGTGTTTTATAAAAATGTCATCCAGCGGTGAAAAATGGATGCCACTAGTTCTCAAAGCTCAAGATGATATCTTCAAATTATTTGATGCAATAATAAAAATAACAAGCAGCAAGTCCTTAGATGCTGAAGATGATACACGTTTGGCATTTTTGATTTAACAAAATTAAAAATGGCTACAGATTACTTTTGTTGATCAACTATTTGTTAGGGTAATCAAGACTTCCTTCAATCCTATTCCGTTGTTACATAATAAATGTAAAGGTTAAGCAGTAAACCCTTAATGTCACAAGGTTAAAGTAAAACTAGTTGATTAGATTGGATGATTTATCAATTAAATGTGTTCTGCAGTGAACGTGGTAATGTTCAAATATATTACTTAATATTTCCAGTGTTCTGAAGCAAAGCAGAACTCCAGCAGCAAAAACTATCTAACAAAATGATTATTGAGTATATATACTGTGATTTCAGTAAGTCTGCAACTACACTGCAAACTAAGGTGTCAGCAGGGAAATAAACTTACTTGGACAGGCCGTGGATGCAACCTGCCAGGTCCTTGGTCATAGTACCACTCTCTACAGTCGCGACACACACCTGCTCCAGTGTCTGGGCGAACCTGCAGAAAAATGCAGACATTTATTAAAAAAGGTCACATTTCACATTAGCATGAGTAAGTTTCCTGAAATATTAAACCTCTCTTACTTTATGAGGTCAGGGTTGCCGTCAAGTTTCCCTCTGTGCTCCAGGCCTCGGGTCCAGGCAAAGATGCTGGCAATGGGGTTAGTGCTGGTTGGCCTACCCTGAAAGCAGAGATGGAGACACTGTGTGCATTAAAAACTACTAAACATATCAACTGCAGCATCAAATATTTAATAGATCTGAGCATCTGCAGACACTTGTCATTACATCCTTCACCACAAGATGGCAATGTAGCTCTACAGATGACACTGCCTATACAAGCAGAAACTTGAGATTACTAACACAGACCCCACAGGGTTGGTGGTTACTAACCTTCTGGTGCTCACGATAGTGCCTGGTCACAGTGCCGTGGGCTGCCTCAGCCTCAATAGTCTTGCCATCAGGACAGACAAGAACTGATGTCATGAGTCCCAGAGAGCCAAAGCCTAAAACAGGAAACACACCATCTTCTTTTAGTGCAACTACCCAAAAACTGGCACGCGCCTCATATGCTTGCAGGTTTCAGTGTTTTATGACAGTGATGTTTTCCGAATATCTCACCCTGCGCAAGGATGTCGGACTGAACGTCTCCGTCATAGTTCTTGCAAGCCCACACAAAGGCTCCGGAAGACTTCAGCACCTGGGCGACCATATCGTCGATAAGCCTGTGCTCATACCAGATCTTCAGTTTGTCAAACTCTGGCTTGTAATTCCTGCAGAAGACAACACAATAAGATAGTTTTTTTCTTTTTCTTAAAAAGAACATTAAAGTGATAAAATGGTTATAAATGTTGGACCAAATACTAATTAGATTAATACTAATTAATTTGAGCTTAAATTAAATGCATTTGTTGATTTAACAATAATTGTGCAAATGACACTGGACAAATGGGTCATTGATAAATGTGCACACATAAGCAGAAAGCTAGAAGACACTCACTTTTCAAAGATATCCTGGAAGATGTCTTTAAATCTGCCGTCGTAGGCTTTAAGAATGGTGTTCTTTGTGCTCATGTACAGGGGCCACTTCTTGCCAATAGCGTACTGGAAGCAGCTGTGTGCAAAGCCTGTAATAGACTGATGAAGGGAATAAAGAAACAAACAGTTCATGACTGCTGAAGGCTTTATCAGTTGAACAGGGGCTAACAACCTTCCCCTTATCAAGTTGAAAGTCATCTGCGATGACCTCTGATGTTGTAAAATCAAACAGAACCATGCTGATGAAGGCAAACAAAACAGTAGCAAAGAGAGTTGAAACGACGATAGAGGACTGCAGAGACTGCGGTGTGCATTTTACAACTCAATAGCAGCTTATTTGAGAGTTCAGACAATATGAGGACAATAATACACACACAACCCAGATGTTAAATAACTATGGCGTAGAATTAAGCAAATCTTTTAACACCATCTGGATGTTGCAATACCAAATTTTATACAAATTCTATTTTTTAAGAAACCAATGGAAAAAAATATTTGAAGCCTACACCAAAGAGCAAGCAAAGTTTAAAAACCAGACCTGTACTCGCATTTGCTTACACGCCACCCTAAATAGACCCGTGTTCTAAGATATCATCCACAATAATGCTGGTATACATTTTTACATCCAATAAAAACATCATGTTGCGATATTATTGTATAACCAGTCAAGCCCAGACAGGTCTGACACGCGAGAGCCACGTGTTAGCCTCCAGTAGCAATTGTGCACCTAAAAGGAGCTACTTTAACAAAGTACAGTACTTTGTTGAAATAGTAGCGTTGCTACCTTTAGGGGGAACACTCTCTTGCATATTTTACAAACGTGTTCCACTACTTGAGGGGAAAAAATCCCCAATATGATCAGTAAGGAGTAACTCGTTTCAACTCGATCAACTTATTGCAGTTGTCGTTTAACCGGTGCGTTAAGCAGGCATCTCACACTACTGCTTACATTTTTCAGGGAAAAACACTACTTCTGCTACTCGTGTGTTTATATTTGACTTGTTTCACTAACATGGTACTATAATGCTGCTTTTTTAAAGAGTCGCACTTCATCAATGAAAGTAGCTCATTAAAAATGCTGCTCATTTAAGCCTACAATGCTTAATTTCAAGAACCAATCAAATGTTGTTCTGTATTTTTTCTCTGTAACGTTAGAAATATTGCTATTGGACACTTTCTTAAAATCTAGTGACATTATTGAGGTTATATTGCCTCCAATTTGAAATACCATCAGCTGTTCTTTTCACTATATGAAAATGTCCATGTATTTACATTGTTTACCTTTTATATTATATTCTTAAAAATAATCAAAGGTTCTCATTTATATGTATATGTTTTATATGTTCCTTTTAGAACTTCTGGGCAAATGTTTAAGAATGTAAAAATATTAAAATGGTAAACATTTCAGTAATATAAAACACTTTACAGGCCAAACATATAATATTGCTTTATAACACCAAATGTAAACATTGTATTTTAAAGTTTATGGTATAGCAGTATTTCTAATATTTTGAACATTTGATGGTTCTACTCTTTCTTTGCATGTCCCCGTGGTTCTCACGTAGGTGTTAGAAGAAGTTCATAGTGTTTAAGCCCATTGTGGAGACCAATGTGCTGTATAATTTACAAAAAATACAGTTTCCAGGTCCGTGCAAGAAGGTTCAAAACCACATTCATGTAACAGAGGCCTTTTTCTAGGAACAAGCTCTTTCCTTTGTCCTTCTTCAGTTTGGACTTTCCTAGTTCTGTCACAACTTCACTCGTCCTGCTGGTATTCACATTTCTGCCTGAACCCATGTGTAAGATTGTAATTGGTCGCCCAAAATATTCAAAAAAAATGTTGCCATAAGCAGTACATTTTGCTAACTAAAAGAGCATAATATGACATTGTATTTTGCCACATAAATCTAATATTTTATAGCTCCAATTTAAATTTCCTGCTCAGTCAAACTCAGGGCACAACGTTTGGTAGCCCCTGGCCATCAACAGCAATGTTTCATTAACAGGCAGGAATTCATTAACACCAAGATCTTACTCACATGAAGAAGCTTTTCTCTTTTGTTACTAGCTATGGACACTTGATCTGTTAAAGTTGTTTGTTGTTGTTGTTGTTGATGATTATTTAGCCACACTGGCACGAGTCGGCTGGGTCATTTTTCAAGATAAATGCGGGAACTGTTGTTTATTGTGAATTTTTTAAACACACAACAGGGTACTACTACTGGGGCAGGGATAGCTCAGTAGGTAGAGTGGTGGCCCCATGATCGGAAGGTCGGGGGTTCGACTCCACTGAACGGCTACCCTGAGGTACCCCTGAGCAAGGTACCGTCCCTACACACTGCTCCCCGGGCGCTGCACTGGTGGCTGCCCACTGCTTCACTGGGTGAATGGGTTAAATGCAGAGGAACTATTTCCCTATGGGGACTAACACGCACACTTTACACTTTACACTGTAAATATTAGCCAGTGGAAAACAGCCCTCAACAAACACTAATGAATAGAAACAAATGTGGGCTCGTACAGACAGGCCGACTACAGTTTTGTTGTGATTTTCTAAGAATTTAAACAACAAAAACAACCAAAATCTGCATGTTTTCTTTAAGTAGAAGTATCTGCTAACCTCATCTGTGTTGTACATGCCCATTCCACAGCCACCCGCCGGGAAGTCAAAGACCTCCCATTCCTTGTTTGAACTGCCATCAGCAGGTGAGAAGATTATCTTGAATTTGCCGGGCTGGTCGACAACAAAGTCTGTTGCCCTGTACTGTAGAAGAAACACAGAAAGTTAGACAGAAAGATATTTAGTACTTCTGGCTCAAAATGTGGGAAAAACAAATAAACAAAATCAAGCCCCACCTGATCACCGAAGGCGTGTCTGCCAATGGTAATGGGCTGTGTCCAGCCAGGAACAAGCCGGGGAATGTTCTTGCAGATGATTGGCTCACGGAAGACTGTGCCGCCCAGGATGTTCCTGATGGTGCCGTTGGGACTCTTCCACATCTTCTTCAGGCTAAACTCTTTATATAAAAAACAAACAAAAATTATAGGCAAGTCAATCATTCACGCATGTGCAGTGTTGGTAAACACCTATTTAGCTTTGCAGTTTACAAGATCATAGCTGCATTCATATGGGGAAAACACCTGTTGCTACCTTTTTACAAAGGGTACTTGTGGAAAACATGCATTAATAAACAATTTAACTGAATTTGTAGCCATCCTGTAGGGGATGATTTTTCTTTTTAATTTTATTAATCCTCTAAAAAGGTATACAGGTATACAAAGTGAAACAAGAGATGCTTGACATCTTAGTCTGTGAAGGCTTTTTTTTTTCAAAGCAATCTGCCTCCTGTCAAAGGAAGGTTTTATTAATCACTTAACGTGCCTTATTAAACAATGTGTGCCCATTCACATTGCTTTTAATCTATATCTACTAAGTCCAAAATTGCCACTTTAAAAAGTCGTCGATGCGGAATTGTATTGTCAATGCATTATACACTAATACCACGTAAATGTGTTTTTGTACACAGGAAGCTATGGGGGCAGTATCACCTATATCATCTGCCAAGACTGCATTCACGGGGCGACCGTGGCTCAGGGGGTTGGGAATCGCATCTTAACCGGAAGGTCGCCGGTTCGATCTGTCCTGGTCGTTGTGTCCTTGGGCAAGACACTTTACCCTACTTGCCTACTGGTGATGGCCAGAGGGGCCGATGGCGCGATATGGCAGCCTCGCTTCTGTCAGTCTGCCCCAGGGCAGCTGTGGCTACAACCCTAGCTGCCTCCACCAGTGTATGAATGTGAGAGTGAATGAATAGTGGTATTGTAAAGCGCTTTGGGTGCCTTGAAAAGCGCTATATAAATCCAATCCATTATTATTACTATTATTCAATACTAACGAAGGAGAATGTAGTGGAACGGCAAAAAACAGGGACAAAAGAAAATGAAAATGGAGATTTTTTTTTTTTTTTTGAACGTGAAAGCATTTCACAGAAAACAAACAAAGTGCAAAGTTTAGCTTTCCTTCCACGACAGCACAACTGCAGTGCACGAGCATTTAGAGCACCAGCACCCTAGAGCTGTTACATTAACACTGAATGGATCAGTTTTAGGGTGTTAAGTGCGTTGGGTTGATACCTTATTTTAATGTTTGTTCAGTAATGCTTGTGTTAGCTTACCTGTCGGAAACTCCTCAGGATGATGCTTGCTAAGCAAACACCGTTTCAGTTTTGTTAGCTAATGAGTGAAATGAGTAAACCATTAAATAGGAGTATCTACACCGTCTTCTAGTCCCCCCACCCGCGTTATATTAGGGTTTATTCCGAGTACTAAACCTCTTCCACTAATGTTAGATTTTTAATCCGTGGGTTGGAGCATATCAATAATTAATTATTTACTTAGTCATTTATTATTTAATTACTTAAACTTTTTGATTGTCATCGAACACGACACCATCTAAGAAACTATGATATAGAACCAAATTTGTGATTAGTAATTTTGCTTTGTTCGGTTTTACTAGTATTAAGGCATACAGATGAGTTTGTGCTGTAAAGACGCTCATGCGCCTCTCAAATGGCTGAAGTCATGACAGAGAGCATTTTTAGCATTGTTATGAACAGCTGATAACATATTCTCAAAGATAAGAGCAAGCTTCACTCCAGAGCATGTCCACTGCAATCATGAATTCATGAACTGAACCATCGGTAAACTTTTTTTTTTTTGACTGGAAAAAAAATATTTTTGATTTCATTTGAAGCTTTATTTGAACTTAGACCTCAGCCAACTTTGCTTTCCTACTATCACATTGTTTTTTGTTTAAAATACTACTAGCACAAATACTACTATTTAATAATATTACTTGATATTTTTTATTATTTCATTTTTATTTTGACAGTCTTATTGAGTGATGTTAAAAACATATCTAATTACTAGGGGATTGAACCGTTCGATACAGTGCTTTTGGTTTGGTATGCATATGTATCGAACAATACAAAATTTTTAATTTACTTTATCAACTTTTCTTCTGAAGATGCTGTCTGTGTTGAGAGCTCAGTGGATCTGCCTTCGACTACTCCGCCTAGGCTGCACTGTCGACCGCAGATCCACTGAGCGCAGGGCAAGCTAGCGAGACAGAAGCTAAGCTCGTTGCAACATGGCAAATTGAACCTCCCCCACCCTCATTCAGATCTGGCCTTTGGAACTATTTTGGTCTTCATGTGAAGCATGACCCTGAAGGTAAGCGCGTCATGGACTAAAGTAAAACAGTATGTTGGATGAGCCACGCAATGCTCAATTACATCGGTGGGAACTACTGCGTTAGCGCAGTTTGCTCGTTAACGTGTTGACACCGTCCAGCCCCATGCTCGTTAAAGGAGATTTGCCATGTTGTGGCGTTAATGTCATTTCAGGTTAACGCTGACAGCACTAGTGGGAACACAATGAATATGACTGCACATTTACGCCGACATCATCCTAGTGCAAGTGGAAGCAGACAAAAATGGTAAATGGCCTGTATTTATATAGCGCTTTACTAGTCCCTAAGGACCCCAAAGCGCTTTACATATCCAGTCATCCGCCCATTCACACACACATTCACACACTGGTGATGGCAAGCTACAAAACAACAAGCACGCATGCTACAAACTTTACCCGAGTCATTTAGACAGCCGTTAGCACATAATTCTCCTTATGGGGACCTGATATGTTTAATATGCTGCTGAGAATATAGCCCAGAAGAAGCGATAGTATAGCTTTTATTTTGGAAAGAGCCATTTCTCTGTAATAAACTCTCTTTTCCAAAATGAGTGATTTCTCGATCAGATAGATTTATTTTTTATCCTTTGTTGTTTCAGCAACATTAAATTTAAAAACTTTTTAATTTGTCATTTTAATAAATGACAAATTAAAAAGAGCATGAACATTTTTTGTATCGAAAAAAATATCGAACCGTGACACCAAAGTATCGAACCAAACCATGAATTTTGTGTATCGTTGCACCCCTACTAATTACTACAACAAACAATTGTTGACTAATCGAAGAAAAATTGGCAGATTAATCGACTACAAAATAATCTTGAGTTGCAGCCCTACAGTGCTGTATTCAAAAATATGCAGAATTAATGTAGCAATCACTTTGAGAGAATGAAAATCTTAAGTCTAAAGTGCTCTGAAACTAGAAATTAATAATTGGCGATTAAAGATTTGGCAAAGACCTTCAACTCTGGCTTCGTCAGGTGTGATGGTGGCACACTTAACCGCTACGCTGTACTTCTTGGTAGCCAGGGCGGAGTCGATGGTGACCTGGTCATCAGTCTGGTCACGGTATGGCAGACCCAGGTCGAAGTACTTCAGCTCAACATCAACATTGGTCAGGATGAGCTAAACAATCAAAAATTAAAATTAATTAATTAAAAGGCACTGACCACTTTTCACACACGGTTGCTGTAGCTCACAGCCCGACATATACCAACAGCAGCAGAGAGAGCGCAGATGTTAAAGGTGTCAAGGCGTGATTGCGGGTGCCGCTCAGGTGCTTCCGCCTCCCCTGCAGCACCGCTGCAGACCACGCCCCGCCACACACATTAACCTGGTAAAATACATATTTAGGCAGAATTTTGCAAATATCTACTTTTCATTTTTTAGCAACATAGTGCTTTTTTTCAATTATTTTTTAAAAGTCAGGTCAAGGCTCCAAAAGCCCAAAAGCGATATAAGGGTGGCAGCTCAAAACAGTTTTTGTTTGCTACATGGATCATTTTAGTTCAGCTGGGGGTCTTTCCTTTTGTTATATTTCTTTAAGAGTTCAAAATGTGTTAATTACATAAATAAAATGTAATTTTCTCAGTAGCACTTCATGGATTTCATAAGCAACACACCTTAGTTGTTCACACAAAGCATAAAGGTAAAAAACAATATATACAGTGTTATCTTCATTTAAGATGTCAAAAAGTATTTGAGGCTCCCAGTGTTTTCTTTTGCGTGGAAACCAGGTCCAAATGGCTCTTTGGGTGTTAAATGTTGCTGACCCCTGGCATTAGGTGTTCAAGACTTCAAAATTTTCAGACCACTAAAAGCATATACAAGTTAGAGGTGGGAATCACGAGGTACTCCACAATACGATATCGCAATACTTCACTCACAATATGATAGTAATGTTTAACATTTTGCAATATGCAAAATATTGTGGAATGTTAAAAATCACAAAGTATTGCAACAACATATCAAAGTTAAACATTGTCAGTATCAGTTTTATCCAATAAGATTATATCAGTTATTTTTTTCCTGCAAAATGAGATCATCAAGCACACCAACACTGTCACTAAAACCTGCAAAATGCAAAATAAGAAAGAGTCAGTCTGCCATCAATCTATAACTGAATGGGGTCATGTTTCTGATAATACAGCAGCTAATTGTAAATACACAGCTAATACTGTGAAAACTGCAATTAACTGTAAATAACTATTCACCAGTAAAATCACCAGGCAGCCACCAATTTATTTATTTTTTATAGAAGCAAGGAGTTTGCTCATGTGACTGAGCCATTGCACTAATTTAGAAGGTAGCTTTGTCAAGCAAAGCGTGCTCAGTGTTGGATGGGTTTTCAGTTGAGCCAATTTAATGCAAGTTTGGTCAGCTAACATTGTGTCAGGGTGGTGCTGCATGAGATGAGCCCGCTTGTTTTGTAGTCTTGCCAGAGTATTTTAATTTAGTCAATAAAATATAAATCTTATCAAGTATGAAATATCAATTTGGTGCCCCTGTAGCAATACAATATTGTCTCAAAAAAAGCAATATCACGCTGTATCAATTCCCCAAGCCTAATTGAAATTATTATGTTCCAGGGTGTGTTTGTTTTCTCTAGATAGTGAAAACTGCTGTACAAACATAGCCCTGTTTGCTATATTAATAAAGTGATCAGAATGAAATCAGCAAACTATCAGGCAGCCTTAAGAACATATTTAACGTGGAAATCATCCATGTTACTTGACAGAAAAGATTCTTTGAATCTTAGAAAGAACCCATTAAAAAAAAAAAAAAAAAAAAAAGATAGGCTTGGGAGCCAGTAAATGGAAGCATCATCATATAACAGGCTCCTATCACAAAGTTTTACAGCCTCCTCCAGAGTAAATAGACGCAGACACCTGGCATATTGACAACCGACATAAACACCAGATTGCCAGGCTCCACTCCCTATAGTTAAAGTGTAGACAGACTTGTTTGTCCTACCATAGCTAGGATTATGCATTTGAATTGAAGAAGACAGAATTCAGATTTCTAGTGGCGATATTTTACACACTGAACCAGCAACAGTTTTCTGTCATAGGATCGGATCCGGAGGGCAAAACACTGTTACAACACACCAGCCAATCGTGGGCATGCCAGAGAACTAAAGCACAATCCTATAAAATTTCCATCAATTTCTAGCCATGGATATTTAGAGCACCTTCCAAGAAAAAGAAATATATGCGGACAAACTGCAAGTTGTGGGAAACTGTAATCCATATTCAACACTCACTGCAGTGAGTCTTCTCACACTGCGCCTAGGATGACAGTGTACAGAGATGCATACAGTTAAATTCACTTTAAACCTGGACGGGTCGTTTGTGCTGCTGTGTTGGAGGTCAATGATATTGTCAGAGCAAAGGTGAGGGCAAATAAGCCAATGTTTGCTGACAAACATCAATCTGTGACATTCTGGTTAGCTAAGATAAACAATATTTAATGGCATTAATATATATCTCATAACTTGAATCAAATGGCAGGTAAACCTGTCCTGTAGCTAACATCAACTACAATTAACAACCTGGGGTGCTGTTGATGAAGGTGGGTTTGGTGTGGCTGACTGCATGCATGTATGGCATGGTGAGACAAGGTTTGCTTGCAAGCATTGCCATTCACATGAGCAACTACCCATCAGTTTGGCTACACAAATGCAGTAAAACTGAGTCGCATTAACCCTGGTTTTGCAATCCAGACAGATATTTCTGCAAGTATGTGACATCTTTTAGAAACTATGAATAGAATTGGCTTTGATTGGACCAAACAGCCAATTAACTGTCATATTCAGCACCCCATCAAAATCTTAAAAGACAACTTGACAAGCAAGCGAGCGTTGTGTAAACAGCCAGAAATGTTCTGCCCCGAAGATATTTTTTCACCAGCATTTTAAAGATCCCCTAGCCTGTATCACAAAGACCTGAGTTTTAATTTGCATGACTTTAGGGAATAATTAAATGTACCATTTTCCCTTTGAGAGTACCTAAAAAACCGATAAAATGTACTTTGGGATCACTGATTGTTAACAAGACAAAACTGCTCATCAGCTGTCAAAAACATTCAATGATTGAACCTCATGCTATTCTGCGTTTTCTTCCTGAGCCAACAACATCTGCTCTCTCTGGAGAAAATCAGCCACTGAATTACCAAAGCCCCTCCCCAACACACATACATAATCCTCTACATAACACTTCCCACACAGCCACCTGCCAGTCAGGCTGCATGGGCTCAGTTTTCCCCCTTCAACCTTTGATGCCACTTTATCACCTTCTCTTTAATGAACTCCCAGATGATCCTGGTCATCTCGTCTCCGTCCATCTCCACCACTGGGTTCGCCACTTTGATGCGTTTGTCGGCATCTGTCAAAAATAAAACGTGAAGTACAAAAAACATGAGACTGCTGTGTGCCAATCATAGAATAAATGCATTGATTAAGGGGGAAAAAGAAAAGGAAATGAATTATGCTCAAGAGGATGAAAACCCATCTGGTCAGACCAACATTTAAAAATTTAATGTTTAATCCTAAATGTGTTCAAAAGCTACAAAAAGCTGAAATCAATTTGGACCCAAGGCTATTTCTATTTTGCATCCACAAGAGCAGACTCCTTGCACCAACCACAGCTCAAATTTCCATCCAAAACATGCATGAAGAGAGTCCCTGGATCTGGAAGCATGACATCTCTCATTTGTGCTTATTTAGATTTGGTATGTTATGTTGAAGGTTATTTCTAAATATCCATGGCTCCAGATTTATACTGACTCTAAAATCAACTCCCTTCTAAACTGGGCCAAGTGAACCACAAAAAGGAACTTTTTTTTTTAAGTTAAAAATGTAACTGGCAATTTCTGGCAAGAAAACTTATAGAAAATCTTTGCATGTAACAGAGTGTGAATCTAAACTGTTTATTTTAAACTAGAGCATAAGGTTCGGTGTATCTTTTGTATCGATGAGATTTTTTTAGTTTAATGTTTAGTTTGCTATATAGATAATATATAAAGATTATATAGGAAGTCATCCAGGAGCCTGGTTCTGCTGGAGGTTTCTTCCTGTTAAAAGGGAGGTTTCCCTTCCCACTGTTGTCAAGTGCTTGCTCAAAGGGCGTCATTTGATTCTTGGAGTTTTCTCGCATTATTGTAGCATCATTACCTTATGATATAAAGCGCCTTAGGGTGACTACTGTGATTTGGGGCTATGTAAATAAAACAAAATTACTGAAAAATTTGGACATTTTATTTTCTATGAGCTAATCACTACAGCTCCATTCAATACTTCTTGACACATCCTTGTTTGTAGTTAGCATGAATAGCCAACTGACCACACGGTAAATAGCCATTTTAGAGAAACACCACTTCAATAAAAGACCAAATATTATTGATTAGAGCAAGTTTTGGTTTACTCTAAAGCCATTCTTTATTTTGAGAAATGCATATGTTCTTACAGGTAAAAATAATAATTTATTTGTAGGTTTTCTTAAAACCATCAAACCTCATTAGAAAACAAAGTGCTTTATTTTTACACTGACTTTTTAAGACTGTCTCTTTACTTCTTTTCTGTCCACTAGGACTGATATGGATTAGTATGTTTAATCATATCTCCTCTCAGCCTACTCAGTGTGCGAGTGCTGCCAGCAGGAACATTTCAGTGAATAGGAAAGTACAGGGGGGAGGTGCAGAGGATCAAGTGACTCAAATTTCCCAAGCCAAGCTTATGCTCCCCCACTGCCCTAAGAGTACGGTAATTCAAGTAAACACAAGGTGTCCTATGGAAACAGGGTACAGCCAACATTTTTAAGAGTGGAAGATATTATATCCATTTAAAACTCAAGCATTAGTCTGAGACTGAAGACATCTGATGTAGCTGGGATTTTGAAGCCATGGTAGCACCTGTCAAAACAGCTTCTGCTCTTATCCTCCGCACCCTGCTGACTACAGAAACATGGCGACCGTGCACTGAAAATGACCTCTAAGGAAGAACAGTTGTGGCTTTGTGTTATGTTACAACTATGTTTATAGGATAGCATATTACACAGACAGAAACGAATGCAATATCTGTAAAAGAATGGTGAAAAAGTGATTATGTTCTGCTAACTTGCTGTTGTTTTGGCTCTGACACACAACTGTATCACACAATCCTTAACCTATTGGAAATTGAAGAAGGAAATATGTTCAGTTTTGGCACATAACAAAGGAAACTAGGATGATGACTTGTCAGCAGTTTTATTTTAAAACAAATCCATCAATATGACTTCGGTTACTTCCCAACAATAAGCTGGCAGCGATGTTAAAACGAACAGAAAAGCTTTTTATGGATTTCCAAGTTCTGTTTGAAAATTGCATGCCGGAAATTACTTTTACAGCAATTTGAACTGAAACAGTCTGCTGGCAAAATAAACAAGCTATTGCAATAAATCACTTAAGTGATTCTTTCAGAAAAATGGGGAAAACTATAGGCTGTATATGAGAAAGAGCTGCTTTCTTTCCAAGAGACAGAGGGCACAGTCAAGTAATCTGATGTCTTAATGGTTGGTTAGGAAATTGCAAATAATTTAACCATTTTCTCACATTTCATAAGCAAATCAAGATTTGATTTTTTAAAAAAATCAATTCCATAACAGACTTTACCCTCCTCCATCTGCTTTTGGAAGAGTACAGACTCTTCCAGCATTGTTTCGTTAACACATTAACTACTGTCAGGCATAATTTCTGACTTGTTCAACCTAAAACTGCAATATCAAGACTTTCCTCTCACAATGCGGAGGGAGGGGAGCCCAGGAGAGAGCTGAGCAGGTTATGTAATTTATGAGCGTATCAACAAACTGGAGGCTGAAGGGCGAGCTGAAGCACAGTCATGTGGGCCTGCATGCCACATCACTCGCGCATGCATCGGGGACAGATCTGCAGGATTTGTTCGACCACTTGTAGCTAAAGTCAAAGGCAGGTGTTTGGAGAAATATGCAACCAAGATAATCATTTGAAAACGTGCACAATGACTTGGCTCTTCTGTCGATTCAAAATAAGCACATAAGGCTTTTTTAATGTTAAAAATGCACTTGAGAAGGCTCAGAGTTTTTTTTTATTATTTCTCTTTCTTGAAGGACAAAGAAATCAGTTGGAGAAGAATTTGTTTACAGGTGATAAAAGAAATCTTTAAACTGTGACTTTGAACCAGAAGACGTTCAATAGTGGAAAGGAGGGAAACAATAAGACTAATGACCTCACCTAGCCTGCAGTGTGGGACTGGAGTATTTAGAGCTTTTAAATACCCTTCATTTTTAGCACAGTGTACTAATTTTAAATTGAACTGTGAGGTGCCTTGTGGAAATTACGGTCAAGCAGTCAAGGACAATCCAAAATGATGTGTGTCTTAAGGAGATCAACAGAATAAGCATTGATTAGGTGTCCCGCCTGGTTAACTTTCAACACAGTAGGACAAGCCTTAGCCCACATCAAGTTTTAATCCAATACTTGGAAAAGGCATTTACGAGGCTCGGGTAATGAACTTTTCATTCACTATCACGATAGTAGACAGTGGTCAATGCAAAAGCTTTGAAGCTTACAAATAAAGCAGCATTACACTGGATTGTGAAATTCAAATCAAGTTTAACGACATGTTGGGTCAGCTTTATAAGAGCTGTTAAAATTTTAAAAAGTGCATACCAGCAAAGAGGTGCTACTAAACCACAATGCAACTTGTGGCTGGAACAAAAGAAACCAATCAACACTGTCAATCTTCCACTTTTAGTGTGTCACGCAGGTTTTACACCTCGGAAAAACGAAACACGATTCTATCATACTGTGGAAGTGTTATCAAATCATGCGATCACTTTATAAGAATCCTCGTGATAAAGAGCGTTTGGAGGCGTTGCTGTAACAAACAGTCCTGGGGTATGATCCCTAACCACCATCAAAGAGGTACATGCCGGTGATTCAATCGGATCTGAGCCACAGCGTCCTTCAGCTGACCCACTATTTTATGAACGGTAGCTGGTCATGCTAGTGCGTTTTTGTTCTTTTATCTTATATATCTTATAATTTCAGCCCCATTTAATCTGGGATTGCTGCAGAGCGCACGTCATAAAACAGGATTCCTCTCCGAATCGCAAAACACAAATCCATTCAGCCTGATCTCCCTTTTTATTTATTTTTAGAATCTTGTTTGTTAACATTTAGAGGGAACATAAAAGTAACAAGCCGCACAGTGTTTTACAGTATAAATAGCAGGGTGAGATGTGGTCTTTATGAGCAGCAGCCTGGATGCAACCCAGATGAGAAGCGTAATGTAGGACAGAGAGCGCCATACGGCAGCAGCGGCGGCAGCCATTGCTCTCCATAGCGGAGACTCGTATGCGGTAACTGACCTTGGGAAAAGTTTCACCCAAGTAAATCACGCACTGACGATCTCACGGCTGACGGGCAGCTCATCCTTTTGAACAACAGAATTTAACCGGGTTCCTCTCGTGGTTATTTTATTATCCACCTCAGAGATTAGCACCTTTGGAAAAAAATAAATAAATCCGCAAACACGGCTAAAAACGGAAGATTCGCTTAATTCATCAACTGCCAGCTTTTGCACTGCACCGCCACTTTTATTATGAATCTTATATTCTAGGTCAGAGTAGAAGGTATGCAAGCCTGCCAGGGTTTATCCGTTTTAATTCATTCGAGTCCGCATATCTTTACATTGTCCTCCACGGTTCCTCAAAGTTTGAATGGAGGAAGACAAAGACGGGTCGTCTCGCTGAGGCTGCACGCATCTTTTTTTCGACGTTTACATTTTTTTATCATTAAACAGCCTCCGTTAACTCAAACATGTTAACGGCCATTTAACGGTCGTGGGCATTTAAAGTATCGGTGCCCTGCGCTCAGGAAACCATTAAAGGTATTAACCGCATCCTACTTGGCTAGCAGCACAGTCAGCTAGCACGGCTACGTTAGCTCCGTAAGAATAGCCGGCTAACCTGATATCGGCTTTTTCTATGTACGCTGACATTGCATTAGCTCACCTAAATGCAACCAGAGCTACATGTTTTTTGTTTTTTTTTAAGAGGCCACGTTAACACCAGGCCAGGTCAAGCTGCAGTTAACGGTCAACATAATGATGCTCGGGATCAACCGGCTATCTCTCCACTTACAGTTTCTTTGTTGCAAAGTCTGGCAATTTGCAGCCGGCGCAAGCACCGCCGGGTTTCTGGAAAAAGCAGCTCCAGCAGATCTCGAAAGGGAGCTGAGGACTTTCAAGTATCCAGCCATGTCTTCCCGGGACCGAAAACACTTTGCGGTAAACGCTCGACGAAACAGAGCTAAAGAGGGGGGCAAACGCTCCGCGGCTCGCTGCAATATAGTCACCAGCAGCAGCACCGCCCTTCTCCCCTCCCCGGCGGGAGACGCTGAGTGCTACGTCAGAGTCACACATACCCAGAGGAGGGACCGCAACAAAACGGCGGTTAAACACCACAGAGGCTCGTTATAGAGACCGGATAACCCCGACCGAATCAAGGTGAACTACGGGGTAATCCACACAAAGGTCACAGCCTGCAAGCAAGATAAATATTGAGTATATGCGGGCTTTCTTTTCTGTACAAACCATAATAACCCAAACAAAGTCATCAGGCTCATTTACTCAAAGCTTAATGCGGAGTTTAAAAGTTTTTTACAGTTGTTACAAAATAGTTCCAATCTAATGGTCATTGTAGAAATATTACCTGTTTGTTTTCTAAATATATTAAATTAATTTCTGAAGCTCTGCGCATTTACAGTCACCCAATATTCATTAAGGTCTAGCTAATGTAGGCCTGTAATTTATTATGTAGAATACATGCTGGATCATATCTTCATATTAGAGGAAACCCACTGAAATAATCAGCAACAATGTAATGTCCTAATAACTAAATCAGAATAAATCTGCTTGGTTTTAAGGCAAAAGTACTACGTCATTAACACAAATCGCAATGACTGAGATATATAATGCTTTAAACAAACTCAATCATAACAGATTTATCTTTGATATTTTCTATTTGACAATTTTCATGACAAATCATTGGTAATTTAGCAGTCACGACATAAGGTAAAAACACAGTCATTATGAAAATTTATTAAGGTCCTGATTTGTCTCCAGGATGGGTACAGAAAAGATACATTCCACAATGTCTCAGCAGAGGGCCCTCTAATTTTAGCAGGGGAAGGTTACCATACTCGGAGATAGGTCTGCAGAGGAGTCACATGACGGGCTTAGTAGTGAGCCAGTAAAAGAGACAGCCAGGTCACCTCTAAAGTGCTCTTCAGATTATAGCAGGCCTCCGCTGGTTGAAAAAACCTCTAAAGCCTTAACAATAATGTATTTACCCAAGCAGCATGGCTTAAACTGTGTGTAATAACAATGTCGAGAAGGTAAGTGCAATAAGAATGTCATTCAGTCGTCCCTGAAATACAAAACTTTGACCTGCATATTCAATGAGAGGCTGCAATAAAGAGCATGGTCACTGCAGTCAGGTGGCTGTTAGCTAATCCTCTTACTTTATACAGCCACTTCAGAACACCTCTAGGTTTTCACATGTACTTTGTGGCCTGTGCTTCCACGATTTACAGACACTCCGCAGCTCTCCACAGTGAAAACATTCACTCTCAGGTGTCACAAGAATTACAAGGTCAAATCTCTCTATATTGTCCCTGTCTAGACTCATTGTGTTATGCTTTAAAGTTCAGAGAAAGCACGCCTTATTGATCTGACACAGTAAAATTTTATTCCAGAGTCAGTTGCTCCACTGCAGCTCTGATTAGGCTTTAATTGAGATCTGATAGTGTAGGCTGATGCTGTTATTACTGTCATCGCGGTGCTTCTGGTGGGTTTCCTCTTTTGTCTGCTCACTCAACAGCACAGACAGTTCTTAATGTGCTCGTAGGAGTTTGGGATATCATGTGATTCTTAAGTGTTTTATATAGCTTCAAAACACGTTTTGTTGTGCTTGACTGGCAACTGTGACTAAAACAGAAATGAAATATAGGCCTAGTTTAAGGGCTAATGTGATGTATGTGTCTCATCTGCTAGAATCACGTAAAAATACACCAAGACAGCGTTGATGAGCCTACAGCGACATCTGCTGTACAATTTATGAGTATTCCTTGTAGATGATAGATTTATCTGTTTATTAAGCTTAAATCACGAGTGGTTTATTGCATACCAGCTGTGCTTTACTGCATAATAACTGCACATATTATATCTTGAGCTCAGCATACATTGACCTTGCATATTTTATGAGTTGATGATACCTAAATAAAGCTGAAATGGAAATGCAGCTTTAAGAGATGCAGTTGGCTTTATTTTAGAACAAAAATGTATTTTGTAAAAACAAAACAAAACAAAAAACAGCTGACATTCAGTGTAAAAAAAACCCCATCTTATTTACACCTTATTTATTTTTATTTGATTATTAAATTTTATTACTGCCATAGAAAGATGTGGATCATCATGTCTGATTTACACCCTTTTTGATTTTTACACCCTTTCAGGAAAGAGATTCCATGGACTATGATATTCACAAATGACACTGAGAAAAAGAAATAAAGTTCAAGTAAGACATAATACATGCGTGTGAATGAGAGGGAGACCGGTGGAAAGGTAAAGATGCAAGGAGCAGAAGTAGTGAAAGTAGATGAGTTTAAATACCTGGTGTGGCAGTGGTCAGTGCACGAGAGGTGGAGAAGAGAGTGTGGGCAGGGTGGGTGTCGGTGGAGACAAGTGTCTGAGGGGATGTGAGAGAGAAAGATAGCAGCAAGATTGAAGAGGATGTTTAACAGCCTGTTATGATACAGATATGTAGAAGGTTGGTGTCAAAGGAGGATGCTGGCAGGGTGAGATGGAGGCAGATGATCCACTGTGGTGACCTCTAGAGGGAGCAGATGAAACGAGAAGATGGAAAGTTGTGAGATGATAATAGTTTCAGCAAAGATGTTTTTACTAAATCCTAAAGATACCACTACAGTTTGATTGCATTTTGTTATATTGGAGTTTGTTTGTTTTTAGTTTAATAGCATTGAACTTTTTCAGATTTGTTAAAAATCTAAAAAAAAAAAATTCTAAAATAGCCAAAATGTACTTTACTAGCTGCTTTCTTTGGCAATAGCTTTAAAAAAAATGCTTAAAAATATTATTAACACTATTGACAAAAATGAACCAATAGGATTCCCGTGTAGGGCGGCGATGGGCGGTACTTCCTGGGCAAAGGCTCCGCTTGTTATGTAGCTGTTATTGACGCGGTTTACTTTGTAGCAGGCAGTAAGGTCTCGCTTGCAGGAAAGTTCGCCGGCGTTTCTCCAACCGGACTTTAAGAGAAGCAGATTCATAAACAGTAACAGGGTCAGCAGGGACAATGCGGACCTCCTCGGCTGCACGCTCATTTGTTTCCCAGTATCCTAAAACTACTGCATTGGTCACAGTAGCAGGTATGAAGTGACCCGACGCAGGCTCTTTTTCACAAAAGCAGGTGTTGTGTGTTAAAAGAAAAACAAAGTAACTCATATAATAGCTAATCACTGATTTACATTAATGGTCTGATCATACGTGTAGACTGTAAACAGCACACGGATGGCTGTCTTAGCTCATGCTCTTTTACAGACTCTGTGACGTTTACTTGACGTTGCATGAGCATGTAGGCCTTTTGCGCACGGACCCACGTGCTCGTTAAAATGACAAGTGCCTTTGATTTTGCATCACGTTTATAAGAATATAGTTAAAGTGAATTTGTTAACACTTAAACCCCCAAAATAATGTTGCGTGGGGGTTTAAGTGTTAAGCTACAGCTTATTAACATCTTAACTAAATATTCACTAACACACTGTTCTAGGTGTGCCTGGTGCTTTACAGTGCAGTTTGAATGAGCTTTCACACGTTTGATGTGCCTATATTGTTTATATTTGTTTTTTAGGTGGTTTGCTAGCTTGTTTTATTTATTACAAAAAAAGGTAGGGAACCTGATATTTTCACAGTCACCTTTGATGCCAGTAAGTTTACATCCTAATCTATAATATGCATATCAGTATTTAATGTTTTATAATACCAGATTTTTTCATTTGAACTCTAGCTGCTTCAAAGATCACGACTGAAGATCTCCACCAGTAAACTTTAGGTCCAAACAGAGTTATCATAGCTTTATAGTTACTAATTTGTTTTTATTTTTTATTTCGTTTTGACTTTTGCTTTTAATTCTGTTTAATTTCAGTTCGTTTCCAGTAGGTTTGCTCATTTCAGTTTAGTTTGTAAATGCTTCAAATTAATAACATAGGTGCATCTACTAAATACCTCGGATGAGTTTAAATCTCAGTGAACTCAACCTAAAGGTTAGCGGAATAGTTTTCTGAAAATGTCATTAATTTGAGAAGGAAGTCACCTAGGATTCTCAAATTGATGTTATAGGTGTGTCTACTGGTTTGCCGGTATTTTTATTGTTTGAAAGTGTTGACTTTTATTTGAGTTTTTATTAGTTTCAATTTATGAAGGACATATCTTTAAGACAAGATTTAGACAATTCAGCTCATTTATTACCATTAAAAAGCATCACTTCTTGAAGACAGTGGACTCACAATCTTATAAACATCATCAAGTAAGCCTAGTGATAACATATTTTTACCAAACTAACAAAGACTAAAATGAGGATATTTCCTCTGTTTTTGCAGTTTGGTTAGTTTAGTTTTCCATGTTCACAAAATAGTTTCAGCATTTTTTTCAAAAGCTTGTTTTTATTATTATTTAACTAAAATGTTTTCCCACATCGTGATTTAGCTTTCCGTTTAGTTTTGGGGCCTCCGTCATAATACCTAACATCACAGACACACTGCCAAAAACCAATCAAGACAGAAAAGAGAAAGAAGAAAATTTATTATTTAAAAAAGAAAAAACAAGAACGGTGAAAGAAATAATGGTAAATTAATACCAATGACAAGAACTTTAGGCCCACTCTATCTGTGTTAATGAGACCTGAGTAAAAGTGCCATCCTGTGCCATCAGTAGGAAGAAAGTTTGCCAGCCCTTTTCAGTTACCACAGTATCTGTACTAATTAGTCAAAGACTGGAAGTTATTAGCACGGAAACCCACTTAGTTTTTTTAGTAAGTGGGTTCATTGTGTGGTCAGACATAAAAATCTATCTCTTTTCTGTTTTGCTAGTTTACTGAGTTTGTATTTGTCTCTCATTCTGACCTAAATAAAGATCAGACCACATTTTGTGAGTATTTCAGAATTTAGAATCCTGGTGACTCAAAGAGGCTCACAATGATTTTAACATGCTTTTTTACACAATCACCATCCCAAAACCCAAACTTGTTCAATTTGTAGTTATGTAAAATAGAGAGACAATGTT